AACAAAAACAATAGATCGACCTTAGTTCACCATCTATAACATATACACCACACACACAGTAAACACAACAACTATGTTATATGAGAGAGAGAGGAGAGAGAAGAAGAAGAAGAAGAAGAAGGAGGATCATCCATCTATAATAGATGGCGATCGTGACAATAACTATGTCACATTAAAAAGTAATCTAATTTGTCAGCTTTTACTAAATATTCTAAATATTGTCTTTATTTTGTTGACCTTGTTTGAGAGCATCCTTGAAACTTTTACAGCTTAGAAGATACGTAGTTTGATTGATATTTTTATATTTGGTACTATCATATAACGGATGAAAGATGGCTTTTTGTATGCTTAGTACTGATTCAGTACAATTCAGCATAGCTGGACCGAAGTATTTTGCTTTTTTAGGTAACCGTTGCTTGACTATCTCTCGAAAACGCTCAAAATCAACCATCGTCAAGTGTGGTAATAATTCTTGCATGTGTTTAGAAATATTCAATGGTTCTGGTATAAAAGGACAGATTATGTTTGGTCCTGGGTCAGTATGATTCAATGCTAACATATAATGATCGATCAACATATCGATGGGTGTACAAAGCATTCTATATTGAAATGCATGTTCTAATGTTGCAAACATACGAACTATACGCCAAAGCATGTATTTTTGACCGGGATCCACCGAGCCTATGACGTAGCCAGGCTCGAACAAAACACCTTTCAAACCTTTCGCAAATTTTTCGCACATATAATTATGCAACCATTTCTTGTATACAAAATAACCATTAATCCAATAGAAATCTTCATCAGTATATTTGAATTCAATCAGTTTATGTCCATAACTTCCAGTTACGTGAAACTGTTTAGGATGTTTAGAATCCATACAATATTCAGCAAGTATTTTTGTAACATCCATCCATGGTTGAAAGTGTTCTACTGGAAATCCGTATCCAATGTCAGAAGCTAGATGATGAATGATATCGATTGTTTTCTTATACGGCTCCAAGAAGCTTAATAATGAACTCCGATCTTTAACAAGATCCAATTCGATTGGTTCAATCTTCGATTTCAAATCGAATTCATTCACTGAAAGACCATATTGCTTTGAATTCAATTGAATTGATGACCGAAATGAATCTGGATGCTTTTGTCTAGTTGTGCAAATGATTCTCTCAACATTTGGTTGACGTAACAACTTAGATACTAAATTGATACCAATATAGCCTGTGGCGCCAGTTATAAAAATTACATGTTTCATCTAAAAGAACAGGTTTCTTTCACTATTCTTCGATTAGGCACTTAGTAAATTGATGATAGTACTCTCAGCTTTTCTTCATGTCTGGTAGTTAATAACAGCGTTGTCTTAAAAAAATTGCACATTTGCATCCTATAAAATACTTCTAGTTGATATATCTTGTTGCTATGACACAGATTTGTTTTTCTTTTTCAGTAATAGAAAAAAATTTACATTTAGCTTTATATTCTCTTTTATTTTTTAAACACAAAGAATTCATTTATCTTTATTTTATTTATCGTGAGTTTTCAAATATAAAAACTATATCTATATTTATTCTTTAACGTAAAGGTCAATAAAGATAAAGTAACACCTCTACTAATATCTTCTATTAGTTTCATACAGAACTTCGGAACGTGTTCATCGGCAAGAAGATAATTAATATGATATAGTAATAATATTTTACAAAAGGTTTTTAGTGCAGCTCCTTTAGAGCTGAAATGTGGAACTCTTGTATATTTTCTAACCTTGTTATCCAAGTACATTATCTATAAACTGAAAAATTTCTTCTCGACTGTAGTTGTCTTCACTAATAATCGATGATGAGAGCGAGAATTTATTTCTACATTTGAAACTGAAAATGTCTTTTTTTTTTGAGAGCGCCCGATTTCGTTTGTAATTGTTGCTACACACTCGATGATAGTCCTTTTTTTATTTTCCTAATTTGAAATTATTATTTTTTTTTTCACCATCGACTATTTCATGAATACAACTATAACAATAATGTGCTTTATATGCATCAGTAATTACTATACATCGCAATCAATTCATAAATGGTGATATTGCTTTTCACACTGCTAAAAAGATCGAATCATGCTTGTCATGTTAATTATATGACTGCTATGATAGATCAACGTATATTGTTACACTTAATGTTGGTGCTTAACATATAAATTTAAATTGTAAAAAATGTTAATCCTTACACTATTAAGAACTTTAACAAATATATAATAGTTTTTTCATATAATTATGAAATTATTGAACTGTTGTATAGCAGTCAAACTCATATTTTCCATACCGCTCAACTCATTTTTTTATTTTGAAATAAATATGAAGCCTTTTGTGCGCAGTTGTTGAGGTCTGTAATGAGGGGGAGTGGGAAGCCGCAAAAAACTTGAACTTAAAACTGACACTCATTTTTTCTTCGAAAATATACGTGAGTTCTACAAAATTGATGGTAGTAATTAATAGGAGCAAAATCATGTCGATAGTAATGATTAAAAGGGTCTTTGAAGAGACTGTGTTACCAAAAGACTTATGTTTGCTAGCTGTACTGGTAGAAAATCTGTTTTGATGACGACCAGAATAGCTGTGTAACGTATCGACGTTGCTCAATAAAAAAATGAAAGCAATATGTTGTCTACATACCTATCGTACAAAAATTTGGCTTGTGTGCATTCATCTGTACACATGAAATTACTAATGATCAAATATTATTGAGACATCGTTTTATTTTCAATACAAGTACTATCGCGATTTTTCTTTTCCGATCATTAATAACGATATATATTAATGAGACAGATGGTTTCTTTCCCGTCAAAATATTATCATCGTGTTGCTTGCTCTATTACTCATCGTTCGAACAGCTTGAAGAACGTAAAACAGTGTGAGCCGAAGGCAGGAAAATTATGCACTACAACACTACTACTTTTTTGCCATTGTCTCAGAGCATCCCCAAAAATGTTAGCATTTTACAAGCGATAATTCACTGATCAATACCGTGTTTCTAGTTAACACATTCACGGTGATGGACCCCACCGGTGAGAGCCACCATACTTTAACAAGAAATTGAATAGACAAAACACTTTTCTCCATTTTTCTTGCATAGAAGGTTACACGTAATGTATCATATACTCTGAGTATAGGGTGAGATGTTGATGTGGGTGATTAAGCATCATTTGCCTAATTCGAGTTTGAATACAAAATGAAGAGCGAAGAGTCTATTATAACATTGAAAATAAACGAAAAAAAAATCGCAGTCATGTTAAAATAGCAAAAAAGCAACAGATAAAATTGTGTATAAATTCTAATTTATCAACTCGAAGGCCGTCACCTTAACCCTTTCCTGCCGGCTACCAAAAGAGACATTGCAAAAACCTCTTTTCGTGCATGTTTGTTGCTCCTAAACCATGAAGATAGGAAAAGTTTATTTTTCGGAATCAATAAGTGCTTCGACATCTAATGGCTTGATGTATCCATTTGGATACATCCGGCCATCAGGGGACAAAAATTTTGAAAAACTCATTTTTATTCGTCTATCAAAATTGAATATTTTGTGGTTTTTTTTTACATCTATAGCTGTAGACGTAACCATAGTTTGTCTGCTTGTCCATTGTTTGCAGGCCAAAGCTTAAATATTTGAAGAATGTTCTAAGAGTCTCCAGTGAGGTTCAAAATTAGCTCAATTTTTCGAGAAAATTTCTAGAAATTCAGGAACATTCTGGAGGGTTTCTGAACATTTTGTAATAGTCTAGTTCTGAATACTACAGAATTTTCAGAAACTCTCTGGAATGTTCCTGAATTTCTAGAAATTTTCTCGAAAAATTGAGTAATTTTGCACCGCACTGGAGACTCTTAGAACATTCTACAAATATTTAAGCTTTGGCCTGCAAAACATGGATAAACAGACAAACTATGGTTACGTCTACAGGTATAGATGTTAAAAAACCACAAAATATTCAATTTTGATAGACGAAAAAAAAATGAATTTTTCGAAATTTTGGTTCCCTAATGGCCGGATGTATCCAATTGGATACGTCTCCATTTTTTATTGTTCGGATTTTTTGAATAATCCGCATTAGTAATGCAATAGACAATAGATCTATGAAGGAAAATTAACAACTAATTGCTTCAAAGCTAGATTACTTAGAGACACGAGAAAAGGATTATTTCTATACGGATGCTACTTGGGGGCATTGTGGATGGAACCGGTCAATTTCTTACTGAATGTTTTTTTTTCTTCTTCTAAACGCATGAACGTGTGTTGAAACGTGTTAACTTAATTATCAAATTGTCAAAAATTTTGATATCATCACTATAAGTCAGTTTTTTGTCCAATATTGGTTTAATGTATCCAAATGGATACGTCCGGCCGGAAAGGGTTAAAATAGCAAAAACGAACAACATGAAATTTTGTATAAATTATAATTTATATATTCAAATGCAGTCATTTAAAAATTGAAAAAAAGCAAACGATAAATTTTATATAACTTATAATCTATAAATTCAAAGGCACTTATGTTGAAATAGCAAAAAAGCACGTAGGGTATCTTCGGCCTGGATTCGCATATTCCGCAACTGGATTCGCTCACAGTTGGGACCAGAAGCTAAACTCTACAGACCAAGATAGAGCTCAACGAGTTCTATCCAATGCACTATTAAATTTTTCTCCACAACGATTCCAAGCGGGAGAAAAACCTAAAATACTGTAAAAGAATTAGCAAAAAATCCGATGTTTTTCGTAAAGTGCACCGCGATTCACACTTAATTGGGGCCAAAACTTGAAAACCATACAGACAGATATAACCCGACGAGCTCTATCTAACGGACACCTTTCAACTTATTTCAAATACTTTCACGCCCTAAAAATCTGCCTATACCCAGAAAACCTGCTTTTTCAATCAAGAACCACTCCTGGATTCGCTCCCACCTGGGACCAAAAGCTGAAAACAACATAAATCGATAGAACTCAACGAGCTCTATCGAATGGATACCGTTCAAGGTATTTTAGATACTTCTCTCCTCCCTAAAATCCCAATATACTCAGAAAACCTAGATTTTCCAGGAAGCCGCAGCAGGATTCGTTCCCAGCTGGGACGAAAAGCTCAAAATGGCATAGATCGTTAGAACTCGGCGAACTCTATCGAATGGACACCTTTCTTCCTCGATTTGATGCTTGGATCCCCTCTGAAAGGGCAAATCCAAATCTCAATCCAAAACACTTCAAACAATATTGCCTTTTCATTAGATCTTTATGTCGAGTATGCAAAACAAATATCAACAAATTTTATTTTAATTTCTAATAAAGTGCTAAATTTTTTCAAATTCATGTTTCTTAATGTTTCACGTGCTAATTTAGGTGCTTTCTTATTGTGCGCATTACTTTGTATTTCAACTATTCGTGATGACAGCAAGAAGACGACATCTTTCTATTTACATTTCGTTCTTATTTTCATGAAGGACGGGTATGTGGAGAGGAACAGAAAAAAAATTATTGGTGAATAAGGTATTATTGGTGAATAAGGTATTATTGGTATGAAGAAGAACGAGGGAGAAAAAAAACAATGTTTTTTGTTTATCTCTATCGTCGTCAGCGTTTCTAATGGAAATCTAAAATACAATGTACTGTACACTCTATTTTCTTAAAACAATGTGTACGTGTACACTTTATTTTTAAATGGTAAGTGTACAAAGTGTACCCAAACAAAGGTTCATTTACTAGAAAAACATGAAAAATAAATCAAGTTCATATTTGTTTTCCTTTTATAAAATAATGCATCAATTTTAAACAAACAAATAATAGATGTGTAAGATATATAGTAAATGTGTAACAATAAAAATACATCTCAATATCAATATAAAAAAAACAAAGTGTATATTCACTTGGTAAAGTGTACGTTGTACACTCTAATTTATTAAGCAAGTGCACCGCAGCGTGTATTTTTGGAACAGCAGTTGTCCTGTACACTTTACTCACTCTAAAAAATCAAGACACATCACATGTATTAACAAGACATTTCATTCGTCTGATTAAGACACTTCAAGAAGTTTCTGATTGGTGGCTAAACGTCTTGT